ATTCCCAGCCCTTTTTATTTTTTAGTTTTTTGAGACAGGGTCTCTCACTAAATTGCTTAGGACCTTGCTAAGTTGCTGAGGCTGGCTTCAAACTTGCAATCCTCCTGCCTCAGCTTCCCAAGTCTCTGGGATTTCAGCAGGCACCATCACACCCAGCTAGGTGTTCATTGAATAAATGCCTCCTGTGGAATAGACACTTCATGTATTTATATTTGTATGTACATATTACATTACACATCGAGTATATAATTTATATGTAATGTACATATACATAAGTGTACATGTAATCACACAATTTATGCAACATAAAATAGACACTGTCTCCATTCTACAGATGAAGACTCTGATGCTCACAGTTAAAATTCTCATGTGCCAGGAGTCATACCTGCTGAATGGTGGGCATGACCCCACTCTGGTACTTTTTCTGCTGACCCTATGACAGCACCACCACATATGCCACTAGGAACAAAAGGATGAGCTGGTGCCATCACACACCACACGTGAAAGTGGCAATGACTAAATAAACCTGGACCAGCAGGCCAAGCAGAAGAGAAGAAACCCAACTTGTGCTGATGGCTGTCTTCCTCCTGGTAGTCTGTCTCCAGGAGACTGCTAGTTTGGGTAAATAAATACAAAACGATTTCTTGGCAGCCAGTCGTGGAGACACTAATTTAGAAAATTGCCTCAAATGAACATAAGCAGCATAAACCAACACTCCAAACCACCAGCACAGCAATCTAGACGATCAGCACACCATTGATCAAACGAGTTCTCGGGCCTTCTGTGGACAGCCGAGGAGGCCAAGGCCCCCTCTCGCCTTTGCACACAGTCCACCCCGTGCAGTGCAGCAGGTGCACTCGGCAGAATCCAGCCAAGCCTGGTTCTCACTGGTATCCCAGCCAAGAGGACGGCACTGGAATGATGGTGCTTCCAAAGTAAATCTGCCCACGCTGGGCTGTTTTCTCTGACCAAGCCCTGCATCTGGCCCTGGGGGGGCCTGCATGGGTGGATGGTGAGTTCTGGCCCCCAGGGTCCTCCTGCCAGCAGGGCTGCCCTGGAGGATTGCTCCACACACAACAGGAACCCAGCACCCACAGGAATCCCACACCATCCTTCCTGAGCTCAGTCCCCCAGAAGCCACCAGATATCCCCCATTCAGCAACACTTCCCCATGCTTCTCCTTTTCAAATAACAGAACCAGGTGCCATCAAAGCCAACGCACACTCGTTTCCCTTTCACTCCCCGTCTTCTCCTATGGCAGAATTTGCAGGCTTTAATCCCACGAGGGTGTGTTCACAATTCAGCCACATCCCTACCCCCCACCCCTCACTCACTCTGCACTTCAAAATGCCAGCCGGGCCTCAGCCACAACCCCAGTGTCAAACTAGATAATTTGAAATGCATGATTTTGCTTAAATTTATTTTTTCAAACTGTACATCACTAAGAATAAAAAAAAACAACGTCACTTGGCCACTAAGATAGCAATCAAAATAAATACAATGAAAACCAAAAGAGAGAGAGAGAGAGAGAGAGAGAATAATTGCCTGTTAAGTAGATACTATGTCTACTCAAGACACGGGGATGAGACTCTCTGTTCAAAGGAAAGGTGAATAAATCGGGGTTCAAGAGGTCCCAAAGACATAGTGAAGTCCAGCGAGATTCTTTGTCACAAACACCCAAGAGCTGAAGATGGAATTAGGAGATGCTGCTGTGTAGGTCACACTGTGTGACGTCAAGTCCACGGATCATCCAGAATCATCTGAATAGCAACAAAAGGAACAAGAGAACGTCAGGAGGCGGGTATAGAACCGCCAGTGACCTGTCCTTCTCTTTCTGGAGCCCTGGCTGTGAAGCAGAAGCTCCAGAAGGGCCCAGATCCTTCGGGGTTCACCTTGAGTGGGGGTGGGGGTCTCCATTTACTTTTCCACTTTCATCTGCTGAGAGGAGGACCCCAGGAAGCAGGAAGTGAGGCGAAGAAGCAAGCCCTGGAGTTGATGGCAGAGAACTCCGTCCAGGACCCAGGACTCTGCCTTGGACAAATACACGGCCCTGCAGGTGAGGAAGGCCATGTCCTCCTGAGACAGAAAGGCCTGAAGTCACACAGGTGCTATCACAGTACTCGTGACGGGACGCAAAGGAGACTAAGGGATTTTGACTGAGAGTCTGTTTCCTCCGTAGGTAAGGTCATCCTCTGAGTGAGGGGACTCAAACAGTGGGTTTGGGGAGCCTGGAAAGGTTTGGAATGGCCTCAGCCACCCAGGCCTCCAGAAGGTGAGGTCTCCTACTGTGAAAGCCAGGGGCAGGCTCCTGCTGCCACCTGAAAGAAAAACTGCCAGGTGAGCAGCAGCTCAGACCCAGGGGCGGGGCCTAACAGAGCCGCCTGGATGCAACCAGAAAGAACAAGTTGGCACTTGTCTAAGCCCTGCCACGCTGTGGCTGTGATCGCTCCTGCTCTGCTTGCTGGAGGCCAACACACAACACCTCAAGCTCCAGCAGCAATATATGCCTGGACACCTGCCTTAGTGTGTCCCCGAGAAAGGAGTGTGGAGAAGGGTCTGGCTTGAACCAAAAAGCTGCTCTAAAAGCACTGGGATAAATCGCTCCCGTAAAACCAAGCCAAGTTGAAAGGGGAAAAGAGAATCACAACATGCAATTAACCTAGAAAGAGGAAAAAAATGCTAAGAGGAGGTAAAGACAACTCAGGCCCTACAGTGAAAGTTAAACGTAAGGGTTGCTCTGAACTGAAGTTTGAAAGGCAACTGCCAACACCTCACGCTACAGTCGTTTGGTTAATGTGAGCCAGGTTCAGGATGTCCCCATGAAGCACCACCAGCCACCAGTCAGCCAGTGAGGTTCTTGGGTAAAGTAGCTATTTGACTTAGTCTCCATGCAGAGAAGGCATGCCGCCTTCTCTTTTAAGTGCAAAAAGTACATAATTAAATAAAGTGTTAAGTCTGTTTGTTATTTATGCAAAGAAAATTTCAATCTCTGTTTAAAAGAAAAAAAAAAAGCCTCAGTATCCCCCCCAGAAGGAAGGAAAGAAAGCAGGGAGAAAGCAAGAAAGGATCAAGAGGCTAACTCACTCCAGGTCCTGGCACTAACTAATTCGTGTTCTTGCATTGCTTGAGATCAGATCTTACTAGAATCCCTCTCCAGGTTCTGGGTGATCAGCTCCAAGCCAAGAAGCCTGAGGCCCTACTAGGCCTTGGTACACACTAACCGACACTTTTGGAAACTCTATAAGCTAACACGAGTGGGTACTGTGGGTACCACCACATGTTGTTAAGGTTGTGTCACTTTACCAACCAACCACTATGGGTTGAACTGAATCTCCCCAGACAAGACCTGTCCAAGTCCTAGCCCTCAGTAGCTCAGAACGTGACATTGTTTGGAAATAGGGCAATTATAGATATTATTAGTTAAGATGGAGTCATACTGGATTAGGATGGGCCCTTAATCCAAACTGTCCAGGGTCTTTATAAGAGAGACACAAGCACTGGGACAGAGGCTATGTGAAGACAGAAGCAGAGATGCATCTACAGGCTAAGGAATGCCAAGGACGCTGGCCATCCCCAGAAGCTAGGAGAGGGATACAGACGGGGCCTTCCTCAGCAGGAGCTGACCTGCCTAACCCCAGGAGTTCACGCTGCAGCCTCCAGAACTGCAAGACGATAAATTTCTGTTGTTTTAAGCCACTGTTTTAGGGCACTTTGTTACAGTGGGGTTCTTTATACCAACCCTCAATCTCAATGTATATAGGGAACATTCTCAAGACAAAAATAAACTCACGCTTGAAGAGTGAGAGTACAGAATTCTAGGCAGTCTTCAACTTCCTCAGACTTGAGTCCCTGGGAGACATTTTGCAATGTTTGGAAGATATTTCAGGTTGTCTTAACTAAGGGTGCAGCAGAGGAGACACTGCTGGCATCTAGTGGGTAGAGGTCGGAAGTACTGCTCAACATCCTACAGGGCACTGGGCACTCTCTGCTACCAACAAGGAATTATCTGGGCCTGATGCCAACAGAGCTGCTGTTGAGAAACACTGCCCTAAACTTGGGAAACTGAAGAGAATTCTAGAATGGTGGAAAAAGTAAAAGATGTAGTTGACCAACATCTTCCACTTCCTTAATCTGATTACCTCATTCAGCTCCTCTGTGTCTGATTTTTAAAATTGTAAAATGGTGGTAATCATATCACAGAGGTCTCTTGAGGTTTAAAACACGGGTATGTTGCTGGGCACAGTGGTGCACACACACCTGTAATCTCAGTGGCTGAAGAAGCTGAGACAGGAGAACCACAAGTCAGAGGCCAGCCTCAGCAATTTAGCAAGGCCCTAAGCAACTTAGTGAGAACTTGTCTCAAAATAAAAAATAGAAAGAGCTGGGGATGTAGCTCAATGATAAAGTACCCCTGGGTTGAATCCTCAGTACCAAAAACCAAAAAACAGTTACAGGAAAGCATTCTCCAAATACAAGTTATCATCAACCCTTATGAAAAGTTTTGCAGGCCTAGCACAGGAAGGCAGATCTCTGTGTTAGGACTGGGGTGAGGGATAGGTGGTAAGGGGCAGCAGTGAGGCTGCAGTGGGCATAACTGGGGAGGGCCTTTGAGTCCCACTGTCCATGGCCAACTCCGGTCCAGTCTGTTATGGACGCTGGTGGGCCTTGTAGCTGCAGCTGACCCCAAAAGAGCCCTCAAAAGAAGTAAAGGATGTGAAGATCGCTGGACCATGCCAGCGTACAGTGAAGGACTCTCCTGGAACTCGAGGTCCTCAACCCCTCCGCCTTTACTAAACCAGAACCTGCCCTAAAGGCAGGCAGCATCGCCTGCGGGGGAGGAGCCAGGCTCTCAAGTGGCTGGGGCTCGGTTCCACGGTGTGGAACTGGAACACAGGCGCAGGGAGTCCACTGCCACTAGAGAGGACGCCTGCCTCTCAGGGCGGGATGACAGAGGAACCAGGGCTCCAGGGCCCAGGCCTGTCTCTTGGCCCAGGGCGTTGATGAGGGGTTCTGTAAGGTGGCAGGATCCGGCAAGGCGCCCCTGCAACCGAAGGGAACCAGCTGCCTCTCGCCAGGGTCGGGGAAAGGGCCAGGGCCATCCCCCAACTGCTCTGCTCATTCCAGGCGCCCTGGGCTGGGCGCTCCGTGGGA